ACCCAGGGATAAATTTATCTGAGTCCTGTCCTTAAAGGTCAGAACCAGCAGGAGAAGGACTGGGGACCGAACGGGATTCTCAAAGCAGCTCTTGGGTTTCCTGGCCTCTTGTATCATAGTAGGTTCTGAATGTTGTTTCCTCCCTTACCTCTTCCCACCCTTACACCCCTCAGACCCAATTCCCAACCAGCTCCGAACTGGGGTGCCTTCTTCCTTACACTGGGCTCACCTCTCACCTCCTCCCAGAATCCAGGTGTCTGGCTCCAGCCTCATGCACAAGGGAGATGAGAGGAGAGAGGTGACACAGACAAGGCCACTAGTGATATGTGTGTGTGTGTGTGTGTGTGCAGAGGCCAAAATTTGGCACTGGCAGCTGCTGCAGTGCCTGGTGCTTGCCAAAAAAGCCCAGGCCTGAGAGGTGGGGCAGAAGGAGGACTGAGAGGGGCCCTGTCCGTGGTGCTGACGGGAGAGCTTTAGATGACCCATGGACTGCAGCAGAGTTGCCTGTAAGGGTGCCGTTGACACCCTTACTTAACTTCTGGCCCCGCTCCTCTTCTCTGGTGGCCGTTGAACCCAAGGGACACTGTGTGATCCTGCACTGAGACACCCCCTCTTCCCCTACAGACGAGTTCCCTCATCTGTGGACTAAGGTTCATTGCTGCCTGGAAGGGCAGCTGTGAGAAGGAATTGAGTTGTGTGTGCCAAATGCCTAGAGCAGTCTGGTTCTCACATTGTGGGTACTTAACTCTTTCTTTAGACCCCACCCCCATGACTTGGCTTCCTCTTGCCCGCTCCTCTTCTTCCCCACCCCTGGGTCCAAAACGAGCCTGGACCCCCACATATTTCCTCCTGCCTTCTTGCAGAGGTCACCTTCCAACTCTTACGCCTCCTCCCCTCCAGCTCTGTTCTCCCTCCCCTCTTTTAATCCTCAGGTGGGTGAAGAGGATCAGGGTTAATCTAGGGGCAACAGCTGTTCCTACTTCTGAGCACCTAATTGCTCAGAGGGTGGGTCTGGTTTTAACCCTTCACATTGCAGCCCAGGGCCTGGTAGGTGGTCCTGGTCCCCCTAAAGCCAGGAGTTCCGATTCTTACCATGTGTGTTGCAGCCGGCTTTCCTGGCCATCCCTGCTTTAACTTCTCTGGGGCTGTTAGACCCCTTTCCACTTTCTTGCCCTCTGTCTCTAACCTGGGGCCTTGCTCCCTCTTCTCTGTCTCTCTGTCCTGGTCAAATGCTCCAGCATGGGTCTCAGCTTCTCTTTTCCTGAAATCACTCCTGCTAGCATGGCCTGCCTGTCCTTTTCCAGGTCAGACTTCCCCCAGGGCTTGCATTCTGCGTCCAGCTCACCCCAGTCTACCCCCAGCCAACTTCCTGGCCTCCGCTCCAGGTCTCACTCTCTCCTTCAGCAGCTCCCCGCATTTGGTCTCAGCCCTTTTTCCGTGTCACTTCTTGGATGACTTTGCTTTTGTTTCTCACTTACTAGCTGGGCGAGTTCCCCGAGGCCTGCCTCTTTGCCCTCCCACCTCTACCTCAGAGGATTTAAGCGAAAGGGCTCACTCAATGTGCTGACTCGAGCAGTAAAAAAATGCAATGTTGCATATTCATGCACTTTTCATTTTTGTTCACTCTCAAAGTACATAGAACTTTCTCTGCTCTTGGCTCCTTTTCCTCATCTTTTTCTCCTTAGTGCTGGACTGTACCTGAGAAAAAAAGAGAGAGAGAGATTGGGCCACATTCAGGCAGAACAAGCAGCACTGACAGCACCACCAACTCCCCAACGAAGCCTGTCTCTGACACTTGTCTCGAATCTTCCAAGGGACAGTGGGGCTGAGAGTGGAGGCTATGGAGCCAGACTTCTCATGTTTATTCTTTGGCCAGCTTACCTAGCCTCTCAGCTTCCTTCTCTGTAAAATGGGGATAACTATACTATTTCTTATAGGGTTTTCGTGGGTGAGTAAATAAGTTTATGCATGTAAAAGATTTTAGAATATTAGAATAACATAGTATGTAACTAGTCAAAGTTAGCTGGTATGCTCTCTCCCCACCACGCTCAGCCCTTCTGCTTCAATTTCTCCTAACCTCAGCTGTCTCTCATACCTTGCTTAAGCTTGTTTTCTCACTCTATCTCTGCCCTTTGGTCTGTGCTGTCTTTTCTCCTCCCCCCTCCCCCACCCCCCATATTGCAGCGGGGGGGAGGGAATGAATACATGAATATGAAAAATGGGTGGGTTTTGGGGTCAGACAGTCTGGGTTTGAATCCCATCACTACTACTCACCAGCTGTGTGATTGCATAACTTTGGGCAAGTTTCTCACCCTCTAACCTGGGGTTCCATCGTGTAACTTGAGAGCCCACTTCCCTCTCAGGGTTGCTGTGAACATCACTTGAGATCTGACTCACGTGATGCATCCAGCACTGACCCCGGCACCTGGCGGCTGCTCGGTCCATCTCCTTTCCTCCTGACGCCCTTCTCTCTGCCCAACAGACACTGGCTTTCCTCTGCCTACACGCAATTTGCAGTGCCCTACTTCATCTATGACATCTACGCCATGTTCCTCTGTCACTGGCACAAGCACCAGGTCAAGGGGCACGGAGGGGACGAAGGGGGGGCCAGAGCCCCGGGCAGCACCTGGGCTGTGGCGCGAGGCTACCTGCACAAGGAGTTCCTCATGGTGCTCCACCATGCCGTTATGGTGCTCGTGTGCTTCCCGCTGTCGGTGGTGAGTAGGGGTGCTGACAGCCAGGGCCCCCATGTCCTGCTCATGCCAGCACAGCAGAAGCCTGGGGAGCCCTGGGTCCAGGTCTGTAGGGTAGGCCCAGGATGGAAGGCCCCCACGGAGGATTTACTGAGCACCAGACCAGCCCCACACAGCAAAAGGGTCTGGGGTAGGCCTGGCCTGGCTGGGCCATGCCCAGTTGTGATGCTTCAGAGCTGCTGTTACGTGTCTCTGAGACTCAGTTTCCTCATCTGTAATATAAGGCATACAATCTTACCTGCAGGATGCTGGAGGGATACAGTGAGGTCATGCTCCCAGCTTTGCTACTGTGTTCATGTTCAGACTTTCAAAGTATCTCCAAAAGTGACTGAGGGGAGAGCAGGAGAGCCGGTGCTGCCCAGGAATCCAGGGTGAACCCAGGCTGTTTCCTTCCTCTCCTCTCAGGTGTGGCGTCAGGGCAAAGGAGATTTCTTTCTAGGCTGCTTGCTGATGGCGGAGGTGAGCACACCCTTCGTCTGCCTTGGCAAGATCCTCATCCAGGTGAGAGGATACCTGAGGGCATATGAGCCTGACCGGAGGGCATGGGAAGGGCAGGCACTTTCAGAGACCTGCAAGAATTCTTTAAAGGACAGGCGAAGTGTCATGTCTGGGAGCGACTACAGGCTGGGGTAGAGAGGAGGCGGGCGCTGGGGCCTTTAGCCTGCCTGGCCCCTGCTCTGAGTGAGGAAGGCAGGGAGGTGGGCGGAGGGGCGGGGCCCATGGGCGGGGCAGGGGCGTGGCCAGGGGGCGTGGCCAGGGGCGGAGGCGCACGCCCTGCCGCCCCTCACTCCGCCCTCGCTCTCTGCCCCGCTCCCTCTTCCCGTCCCCGCGGCAGTACAAGCAGCAGCACACGCTGCTGCACAAGGTGAACGGGGCCCTGATGCTGCTCAGCTTCCTCTGCTGCCGGGTGCTGCTCTTCCCCTACCTGTACTGGGCCTACGGGCGGCACGCAGGCCTGCCGCTGCTCGCTGTGCCCCTCGCCATCCCGGCCCATGTCAACCTGGGCGCCGCGCTGCTGCTCGCCCCCCAGCTCTACTGGTTCTTCCTCATCTGCCGCGGGGCCTGCCGCCTCTTCCGGCCCCGGAGCTCCCCGCCGCCCTCTCCTTGTCAGACCCAGGACTGAGGGGGGGCCAAGGGACCCTCCCCACCCGTCCCCAAGTCCCACCCCTATCCCCGCGGGGACAGGGCTGTGGGGCCGCTGGGTGGGGGTTGGGAGCCAGGGGCCTTTTGCCCTGACAGCCCCAGGACTGACAGATGGACTCCGAAGGGGTGGGGACAGATCCCCCTCAGGGGCTGAGTGGCGGGACCAGGTGAAGTGGAAGGCAGGGCGAGGGGACCCTCTTCTCTCCACCGTGCTTGAGCTGAGGGTAGTGAACCCCTTCCTGCATACCCCCTTCTATCACAACCGTGGGTCCCTGGAGAATGAAGGGGAACCACTTCCCATCTGCCTAGGGCCTGAGGGCCGTGGGGAGACTGACAGACACTCAAGGAGACCAGGAGTCTAAGAGGCTCTGCTGCCAAGGCCATCCCAGCCCCCTTGCTGCACACTCCTCTCAGCTCCCCACATCTGGGAGGAAGGGGACACCCTAACTAATCCCCATGGGCCTCCCTCAGTGCTGGTCGCCCCTACAGCCCTCCTCCAGGGGAGGCCAGCCTTCGGAATCTTAATTTATTTGCCCCAATTCAAATTAGTTTGTTGGGGTGGGGGGAGGGAGGTGGCTGCTATCCCCCAGCCTTCCCAGTGCTGAGCAATTCCCGGTGCAGATGGGGGGCACCTGGTCCCTTCCCTATTAGGCTGCACATCTTGCCCTCGGGCCCTGGCATGTCCCTGGTGCTATAGACCTCTCAAGGCTTCCTCCAGTCTGGGGTCGGGGGACCCTGGGAGGTGCTTTACAGACCGCTAATAAAGATGATCTGCGTGAACGCCATCATGGCCCTCTTAGCCCAGTTCTTTGGGGCTGGGCAGAGGCTGGGATAGAAAGCACAGATGACCACAGGACAGAGCAGGACCCCCTGTCTGGTCACTGAGCGGTCAAGGAAGAAAAAAGCAAAGACCTTTATTCATCAGCAGGAGAGAAGGTGGGTCTGGGCACTCGGGGCAGCATCCAAGGCCCTCGTGTGGCCCTAGGCCCCTTTCTGGCAGCTCCTATGAGGTATGGAGATCAGAGGTGGAAAGCTACCCCTGGGTCCTTCAGCCTCTCCCAAGGGAGGCTGAGGTGGGTGGGGCTGGGGGTGGGAGGGCAGGCCTTACATGTGTGTGCAGAACTGGAAAAGGAGGAAGAAGGCGGCCACTATCAGAGCACCCGCCAGGATGTGATGGAAGAACCTGGAGTTGGAACCTGCTGGACAAGGAGGGGGACATGGGGACTCTGGACTCGTCTCCAAGGCCCTGGTGAGGAGGAGGCCCCTTCTTAAGCTGGTTCATACCTGAGTTAGCAAAGCTGATGGGTTTCTCTCCAATAAACTGGGCCAGGGCCAGGAGCCTGGCTTGGTCTGAGTCTGGGTAATCAAAGAAGTCAGGTCTGTCTATGAAGAGCGGAGACTCTGCTCCCAAGGCCAAGACCTTGGCATTCTCCTGGCTGGGTGCTGGGGATCCAGAGCAAAGTCTATGACAAGAGCCAAGCAGACTCCTGCCCCCTACCCCAAGAGGCAGAGGCAGACCCAGGGCCCTGCCAGGCCACAGAGCCTTAGCTTGGCTATGGACGGGCCTGAGTTTGTTCTAGGAACTTCTCACAAATCAGCTGAGCTCTCCACGAGAAGGCCCATTCTGGATGGGGAGGATGGAGAGAAGCATGGAGGGCAGAGGGGTGGAGGCTTGGCCTCCCAGTGCTGAAGGGGGCACTGACCCTTTCCCCGCTTGCCTTCCTCCCTCCCGCTGCTCCCAGGCCACTTCCCACCTGTTTCTATGGCCCCCAGCCCAACCAGCCACAGCCACAGCCACACCCACTGCCACAGCCTCATGACCCCTCCACTTCTGTGATGGGGCGGGGGGTGGCGGGGGGGCTCTATGATGTCACAGCCTGGAGCCATTCTGATCACACACTGGAGTAAGGGGAGAAAAAGTGCTGGAGCTGGAACCTTTCCCCCCAACCCTGCTGGAATCAGAAGGGGAGAGGTTGGGACCCCCAGAGCTTTTCTTTCATCCTTCGGGCTGAACAGTGGCAGCCCCAGGATTTAGAAACAGGAGAAACTTGGTGGGGCTAAGGAACGCTGCATTTGTATAGAAGGCACAAATTTTTTTGAGGGGAAGGGCAAGGCTGAACACCTTCAGTTATTCCTTAGATTAACTACTTAGCATTTACTGGGCACTTATTACTATACTGAGTACATAGGCTGACTCACCTAACCATCACAACCACCCTATGAGGTAGGTACTACGGCTCTCGTTACACAGATGTAATGCACAGATGGGCAAAGCAATACCAGCAATGCGCACTTCCCAGGGGTGTGCATTTTCCTCCCTGAGGCTCCCCCTGGCTTTGCATCTCCAAATTCAGAGCACAAGTGTCTCCCCCATCTGAAAACCGCATCTCACTGCGGAGCCGAGGATGACCCTAGCGTTAGGAACCAGAAGAAATAACAGGATTTCCCCACTAGGTGGCAGCAGTGTCCATGCCTGCCTGCCTGCCCTCTTCTGGCCCCAGGGAGACACATCTCCCCAACTCCAGGCTCTTCACCGCCCTCTTCCCACAGGTTGCATCAGGTGCTGCTGGAGAAGGTATTGCCAGGGAATGGCAGGCATGGGGGTTGTCAGAGAAAGCCCCCGGGCCCATCTCTCAAGGCAGGTCTTTTGGTCATGCAAAGAGCTTTCATAGGCTCCCCTCTCTTGGTGGGCTCCCCCGCTCCCCGCTCTCCCCCCCCTCCCCCGAGCCATCCCATTTCCCCTTTCTATTCCCTAATTTCCTCTTATTGGTCACTTCCCATCAGCTACTTCCACTTCAAAGAGTTAGTTCCCTTCTGATAGGCAGGAAGGCCTGTCTATCACCTATGTGTCCCGCTTTACCCAAGCCCAAGGACACTTGAGGGTCTCCTGGTTTTACTACACAGATGCCAGGTCAGCACCCTCTGGCAGTCTCAGTTCCATGACTTCCCGTGAGTCAAATGTGTCTGTAGTGTGTCCTCTGCCCTGCGGATGGAGGCTCCTTCCTCCACTGGATCCCCACCCCTCATTTTACCTGCCTTCAGGGACTGCTCACCCATTCTCATCACAGCAACACTGCGAGGCACTTGCCATGGTCAGATTCCTAAATAAGAAAAAAGCCCAGAGAGAAAAGGGGAGAAAAGGAGGGACACTAACTTCTTGGGGGCCTCCTGTGGGACTGGCTCGTACGGGCCTCTTCTCCCTACACTCGTCTCTTCTGAGAAAGAGAAAGTGAGTTACCCAAAGTCACGGGGGCAGCAGGGACTCAATCTGATCCCTGGCTCTGGGCCAGGGCTCTGGCCCCAGCCTGGGGTGCAGCTGCTCTTGGGGTTTAGCTGGGAGAAGAAGGAGTTCAAAGCCCTTAGCCTTTAGAGTGGATTTTGCTGTTTCCTCAGTTGCCTCAAAAGAATACAGCTGCTCTCTCTTCCAGAAAAAGCTCTTTTGACCCAAGCAGTGAATTATCCACTTATTTATTCATCCAACTATTAAATAAATGTATTGAGCTCCTACTATGTGCTGGGCTCCATTTGTGGCTTAAATAGAAGTTGCCAGGGCCCGCTCTCTGCCTTTGGGGCCCACAGGGAAAGAACTCACGGATGCACATCATCAGAGTACAGACGAATAAGCCCCAAAGGGCTGGCTACACTTGCTGTCTCTGCTCCTTAGCCTTGAATGTATTTTTCAGCCCCTTCGGACCTGGTTTTGGCCTCATTACTCCACTGAAGCCACCTTTGCCAAGTCCACCAATGACTTCATAACTTGAAAACTGTAATGGTTACTTCTCTGATCATTCTGTCTCTCAGCATTCTGAGCTTGCCTCTAGGCTCCAGAGCCATGCTCACCAATTTGCTCTAAACAGCTCAGTCTTGGACCTTCTCTTTTCTATCTATACTCTCTCTCCCTAGGTGATCTCATCCAGTCTCATGGCTTTAAATATCATCTATATGCTGATGACTCACAAATGTATATTTCCAGCCCAGCCCTCTCCCCCGAGCTCCAGACTTCTCTACCCAACTTTCTGCTTCATGTCTCTGTATGTCCAAAAACATCTTGAACTCAATAGACCCCAAATGATTCTCCTACCCCAAACCCACTCCTGCTTTCCATTGCAGCACATGGTCTCATGGTCTCATGCCCTGCTCAACATGAAAGCCCAGGAATCATCTCAGATCCTTTCTTGTCTATCTCCTGACAAACCCATTAGCAGGACCAATATAAATCTCAAATCCATCCACTTTCTTACCCCTCCAGTGCTACCCTGCTCTTTCAAGCCAACCCTATGTCCCACCCAGCTTATTGAGACAGCCTGTGAACTGGTTGATCTCCATTCACTCTTCCCCCAGTGAGAACAAACCAGAAAATGAAGATACACTACTTAAAACCCTCCAACGGCCTGCCATGGCTCTTGTGTGAATTCTGGACTTCTTACCCTGACCTGTAAGTCTCTCGTCCGGCCCTGTCCACCTACCCTCCTCAGCTCTTCTCAGGCTCTCTCCTCCACAGCATACTCCAGCCTTGGCACACACCTCTGCCTAGGACACTCTTGCTCCACACGTGATCTGGCCAACTCCTCGCCTGCCAGGTCTCAGCTGAAATGACACCTCCTCTGGGACAGGGCACCTGAGCTCCCATGCCTTGTGACCATCCCCAGTCACTGCATCAGTCTCACTCATGGAACTTGTCTGTGTATTGTCTATCTCCCTACAAGACTGTGAAGCCAGAGATCATTGATTTTGGTCATAGTCGTAGCACCACAATATACAGTAGGTATTCAATAAATATTTATCAACTTAATGGATAGATGAAAAATCTTTCCACTCCTTCACAAACCAGGGCTCAACACTGTCCATTTTGCCCTGCAACTGGCTTGAGCTCCAGCTCATTCTCACCTTCAGCAAGGCTCTTTAGGGGGCGCTGAGGAGGATGCAGGTCTCTAAGGTTCTGGTCCAGCTTGCCCATCTCCTCACTGCAGGTCAGGTGTGCCTCTCGCCATGCCCACCAGCTGTGGTCCCGGATGGCGTCTCCTAGTCCTGTTTCCTTTCTTATTGTGGAGAGCCTTGAAGGAAACCTAATGGTTGATTTTAAAAAAATACATTCTTTTAAGGTAGTCTTTCGAATAGGTAACATATGCACAGGGTACAAAATTCAAAAGGTACTAAAAGATGTATGTTGAAAAATAACTCCTTTCCTGACTTACCCTGCCTCACAGCTACCTCCTCAGAGGTCACCGTAGTTACCACTTTCTTGTGCAGCCTTCCAGAAATAATTTATGTACAAATAAACACATATAAACTCTTTTTCCCATTAAATGGCAGCATTCTATACATGCTGCTCTGCACCTTATTTTTTTCAGTTAACATGAGATTATGAAGATGATTGTGTAGAAGTACATAAAGGACCTCTTTGTCATAGCTGTATACTATTTCATTGTATACTATTTTCATTGTGTCATAACTGACTGAATGGACATTTAGGTTGTTTCCGGTATTTTGCCATTGCAAATAACCTTGAACTTCTATTATTTTGCTCATGGGCCAACATATTTACAGAATAAAATCCTAGACATGACATTTCCGGCTCAAATAGTCTATGTATTTGTCCTCTTGGTATCCACTCTCAAGACTGGCCTCAAAGAGGTGGTGTCCATTTACCCACAACAACATCAACATTAACAGATGCTTTGAATTTTATCATTTGATAGATGACAAGTGCTTTCTCAGTGTAGTTTGACTTTTCATTTCTCTTTTTAAAATATGTATTTAAAAAAGTACACATCACAATATATATCAGTTCAGTAGAGTTAAGTATACTCACATCGTTATGCGACTGCATGTTTTTTACTTTTAAATCACAATATTTAGTGATGCTGACTTAGTACCAGGCCTAACTGGGGGCAGCCTTTGCTTCCTGGTAGTGGTGGTTAGGAGACAGAAATGTAAACAGGTGTCACTAGAGCTGAGCCTGAGATAGCTCTGAAAGCTAGGGGCAGAAGGGAAATGCTCCAGGGAGGCTCCTAGAAAGAGGTGACCCAGAATGACCCCTGAAGGAAGGGAAGGTCCTCCAGGCAGAGGAGCTTATGTGAGCAAAGGTCCAGAGGTCTGAGAGATCCAGGTGTGTTCTAGGAACTGCAACTAACATTCCTAAGAGCTAGTGCCACGAACAGGGGTGATGAGATCAGAGAAGTCAGGGCCTTGGACTAAAGGGCCTTGGAGGGTACGGTAAGGACTTTGTGTCTGGGGGACCCCAAGGCTGGGGCCGAGGAGAGCAAAGATCAAAGCTAGCGTTAGACTGAGAGGTGGTAGGGTTCAGGTGAGAAAAGGCGAACTGCGGAGGAAAGATCGCAAGGCTCTGGGGCATTCTGATTGAAGCTCGATGTCCCACCTCACCTCAGGGACAGAACTGGAGGGAATAGGGGATGGGGCGAGGGAGGGTGGATTTCCAAAGGAGATGCCATCCCTGAGGGACACCAGCCCTTCTAGGGGCTGGGCTGGGTCCCTAGTAGAAACTCCTGAACAGCCAAAGGGAGGAGGCGTGGGAAAGCCACAGCCTTGGACCTCTGTCTCCTCCCTCAGACTGTGAGGTTCCCCAGCTGGACTCCCAGGTCAGCGACAGCAGTAGGATCAAACCTCCTTGCCCCGTCTGCCCCTGGGTCACTGCGGATCTCCAAGCTCCGCCCCACAGGCCCCGCCCCTACAGATAAGGGGAGGGGAGGGCCAGACGCCTTCTGCAAGCTATCTGCGGGGGAGGGGCGTGAAAAAAAGGGGGGGCGAGAGACCGCGCGCCAGAGAATGAGCCTGCGTCGTCATGGCAACTAAGCGTCCGGTCTTGGAGACCCAGGAGGGAAGGAAGGAGAAAGCGAGGGAGGGGACACCATGGGCTAGGCGCGGGGGCAGGCGCGGGAGCCTGGTCTCCGGGGAAGAGTTGGGAAACACCAGGCAATTCTCACTCTCGGTTCCTGGTGGCGCAGGGAGCTCGTGTGTTTGCGAGTGTGTGTATGCGAAGTTGTCTGCGGTGAGTGTGTCAGCGCGTGTCTTGGGTTTGTGCATGTGTGCGAGTGTGCGCACGTGGGCACGCGAGTGTGGGCGGAAGTGCCCGTGTAAGATGCGGGTGCCAGCCTGCGTGCCCGTGTGTGCGTGCACTCGTGTGCGCCCCTAACTGTGCCCGGGCGGGAGACGGCGGGAGAGTCCCGCCCCCTCCTCAGCCCCGGCCGCCCCTTTCCAACGCCCGCCGCAAGAGCCTGCTGCCTCCGCCCCTCCACCCCGCTCACCCCCTCCTCCCGCACTTTCTCCTCCTCTCCCTCCTTCTCCGCGCGCACAGCCGGACTCTGCGCTCTTCTCGCTGGCCATCCTGGGAATCGCTGGCCGCCACTGCCCAGCTGGCACTCGCCGTCCCCCCAGTGCTTGGGCACCTGTTGGAGGCACAGAGCAGGTGCAGGGGGCTGGCCCGCCGGGGGCGTGAGGGTGAGGGTGTGTGCATTAGCCTGCATGTGCCTGCGGGATGTGTGTGTGTGGGGGGGTAGCTCTCCTGAGGCTGCAATTTCTGGCTCCTCTGGAAAGCCAGTCTCAGGAGGTGGCATCTGAGGCGGGGGTCCCCAACTTGGGCTGCAGATGTGGGGAACCAGGCAGCTGGCAGATCCTGGGGCTGAATGGACAGTGGGAAATGAATGTCTAGAGGGGTGAGTGAGACCAGGACCAGACAAGCCTGGTGCAGAAGGATGGATGGGGCGGCTTCAGGGAGTAGGCAGGGCCCAGGGGCAGACACGGAAGCCCAGAGTGAGGGGCTGGGAAGATGACAAAGGGATAATAGAGGTAAGTAGGCAAGGCTGAGGTGGAGCCAGGACCTGTCTGGGGGTAGCGGACTGGCAGCCCAACCCCTGTGGAGCAAGGGTGAGGTTCTGGAGGGCCCAGGCCTCCTGCCTGCACAACAGCTGGCACAGGCAGATCTCTCTCTCTTGACACCAAGGGAGGCCACAGACCAGGGAGGTTGCCCCCTGGCCCTCAGCCAGCAGATCGTGAGTACAAGGAGTCCATGGGCTCAC